TCAATGATGTTGCTGTTGATGTTGAATTACCAAAAAATTTGAGGTCTTTGCATTCTGTATTTCATTTCAGTCTTCTGAAAAAGGACACAGGTTCTTGCCAGTGGCGGGAAGCCAAACCTAAACCCCCGCCCATCTTGATCGAGGAGGATGAACATTATGAAATTGCCCAGATCTTGGATTCGAAAAAGAAGCGTGGAAAACTGTTCTATTTGGTGGAATGGAAAGACTTTGGACCCCAGCACCTCGAATGGGTGGAAGTAGGGGATATTCGGGCCCCTCAATTGCTTCAGAAATTCCACCTGGAGTTTCCGGACTAACCGGGAGATCTCCCGGGCTGACCGGGAGATAGGTGGATTATGGTGGGAAGTCGATTTTCGAGGGGGCAGTATGTCAGCAAGCTGCCAATTTCTTGTTTTATTCTTTCCTTGTGTGCGCTTGTCTGCTTTCACTTTCATATGTAGAACTGTTGATGCGCATAATTGCTTAGCCTGCCGAAACGTCTATATCGCTCAAGGCCACAGGGGGTTGCCGCTGTTAGTTGCTGGAGGTTCTCACGAAGCACCGGGAGAAAGAGATAACATATGCTGCCTAGAAGCGTTTGCTCCCAGGCCCGATGGCGCGCGGGGGAAACCCCGCAATTGGGCCTCAGTAGTTTGAATGTACTATAACATGCCATGCCCTTTGCTCACCCTTCATTCTGAACAGTGGTTTTGTCCACGCACCTATAGCTTCAAATAAAGTAAAACCTTTCTACAAGTGTGTACTGCGTTGATGCTGTGGGAAGTCTGACAAGGGGCCATTGGCCTGATCCAACATGGGTTTCTCTTATGTTCTTAACAGTGGGAGGGCTCCGAGTGTCCTGGCCCCACTGCTGGACCTCCTGATGGCACCTGGTCTTTTTGGCCGCTGTGTGACACAGAGTGTTGGACTGGAGGGGCCACTGGCCTGATCCAACACGGGCTTCTCTTATGTTCTTAACTATTCCTTGCATTATTGTCTTCTGGCAGTGATAAAATTAGTATGTGTAGTGCTTTTCAGTGCCCTTTTCTCTCTCAAATAATGGTAGGGAAGTACACATCTAAGGAATAGCCGCCACTAAGCCTTTATGTTGTTTGGGTTTATCACTTTTCTGAGGCTTTAAGTTTTGGCAGGCCCCTGGCCCAGCCTGCCAAAAGCAATGTGCTTCTTTTAACTACATCATGAACACAAGAGAAGCCAATGCTGGATCAGGCCAATGGCCCATCCAGTCCAACACTCTCTGTCACAGTGGCCAGAAATACCAGGTGCCCTCAGGAGGTCCAGCAGTGGGGCCAGGACACTAGAAGCCCTCCCACTGTTGCACCCCCCAAGCACCAAGAAGACAGAGCATCACTTGCCCCAGAGCCCCTATCTATACCTTGTGGCTAATAGCCACTGATGCACCTCTGCTCCATATGCTTATCTAATTCCCTTTTGAAGCCATCCATGCTTGTAGCCGCCACCACTTTCTGTGGCAGTGAATTCCATGTGTTCATCACTCTTTGGGTGAAGGACTTCCTTTTATCCGTTGTAACCCGACCTCCCAGCAATTTCATTGAGTGCCCACGAGTTCTTGCATGGTGAGAAAGGGAAAAAAGTACCTCTTTCTCTACCTGCTCTATCCCATGCATAACCCTGTAAACCTCAATCATGTCACCCCTCAGTTGTCGTTTCTCCAAGCTAAAGAGCCCTAAGCGCTTTAACCTTTCCTCATAGGGGAAGTGTTCCAACCCTTTTATCATTCGAGTTGCCCTTTTCTGCACATTTTCCAAAGATATAATATTCTTTTTAAGTTATTCCAAATGAGGTCGCACCATTGATTTATATAGGGGCATTATGATATTGGCTGATCTGTGGCTTTTGGCTGCTAACAGAACTGTCCTTGGGAGTCTCCCTAAGTTGTTTCAACCTACCAGGGCCAATTAGCTAAGTGTGTCCTGATTGGCTAAGAGGTTCATGGGCTAAGGCAAGGAGACTGGCTATTCTATCAAGAGGTGAAAAGCAGCTACATCTTCTATCTCCCAACAACATGGACTATCTGGCAAAGGATGGACTTTCTCTCTCAAGTCTCCAAGCAAGAACCATGCGACAGACCTGCCTCCCACGAGCTAGCCAGCAAGCTTTTAATGTATAGTAAGATAGATTTTAGCCAGATGTAGTTCATGTAGTTCAATGAAGCTGTGGGCTATGCCGTGAAGGGCCACTCAAGACGGACAGGCCACAGCAGAGAACTCAGACCAAGTGTGATCCACTGGAGAAGGAAATGGCAACCCACTCCAGTATCTTTGCCAAGAAAACCCCATGGACAGTAACAAAAGGCTAAAAGATATGACGCCGGAAGATGAGCCCCTCAGGTCGGAAGGTGTCCAATATGCTACTGAGGAAGAGCAGAGGGCAAGTACAAGTAACCCCAGAAAGAGTGAAGCGGCTGGGCCAAAGCTGAAAGGACGCTCAGTTGTGGATGTGTCTGATGGTGAAAGGAAAGTCCGATGCTGCAAAGAACAATACTAAACTTCAGAGGACAGCAGAAGACAGGAGGGCCTGGCGGAATCTAGTCCATGGGGTCGCGAAGAGTCGGACTCGACTGTGCGACTGAACAACAACAAGTTCAATACTATTATTTTTTATTTGCCATTGCTTGTGCCTTAAGAGTGGCTCCCGCTCAGCGTTCACTCTTTGTAACTTGAGCAGTTCACTGAAACTGCAATGTTTTTCTGCCTTTTGGTGTCTGGAGTGAGTTACTGAGTGCATGCAGATAACCTCAGAGGAGAACCTGGGAAGCTGAAAGCCTCTGGTGAAAGACCTAGAACCCCGGAGGCTCATGGCTGGCCCGGGCGCCAGGGAGCAGGTGTGGGGCTCTCTAGAACCGTACAACATGCTATATTGCGTCTGAGTTTTTAGAATTATTATCTCAATGAAAAAGAAATGCCACAAGTCATTGAATTCAGCAATTAAACTACTCCTCTGAATACGTGAGATAATAGCA